CCAAGAAGTTCCTACACAGAACTTTGCTGTGAATTTATGTAATTTGGTAAGAGATTACAGGAGGTCTGTCCTCTCTGGCATTTGTTCCACCACTACCTGGTCCTTGGAAGAGGATCCCTAGACCCTCTTTTGTACACAACACATGTGAAAGGTTTGAGCTTACATTCTTAAATATTAGTGACAAAAATATCAGATGATGTTTTACGGGCCAATTTCATAGGGCAAATCATCTCCAGGTTCTTCATATACACAAGCCTATGAAAAAATTCAATTCCAAAGTGCAAGGGTTAAGAAAAGCACAAGCAAGGAAAAGAAATTAATCCCAGAAGCACCAAACTAATGGACCTCACTTTTCCTTGGTCTTACATTTGATGTTGAAATCCTGTTTTTGAGAGGTACATTGGCAGAGCAGGGCTATTAAAAGGTTAGAAAGATCCAGATTCATTTTTTTCCCAGGATGGAGACACTTACAAGTCTTATTTATCTCATAAGGCATATGACACCTCTCAGCTGTGCCCTCAGTTGCAGTTCTCTCCTTCACTCAGCATCCTGTCTTCACAAACTTGTACTGACTTAATTATCTCTGAAATGTCTGTTCAGAAATCAGCCAGCAAGTTCAAAAGGTTCCAGAGAGGGACAAAGACACCCAGAGGCAGACAGACAGACACACACAGTCAGCACGATCCTATCAGCCCACAGAAAACCCTGCTGAAAACACACTCTGAAAACAGCACTGACCTCGTGGTCAATATGAAGTTTATGGTCCTTCCAAGCCTGCAGTGACCTGTACAGATCTGTGTCACACTGAACAGTGTCATTCTCCAGGATGTAACACCTTGGCACGGAAAAGCAAACAGTGTTGGTTACAGGGGATACACACACAGAGCAAGGCAAGCAGCAGCTTTTAATAACACAGCTCCAGGACAAATGAGACCATGGATTGCAAATGACATGCAGAATTCAAAACCCAATATTCACTCCAGAGAACACAAGCATGTTCTGAGCCAGGAAAGAAGTCTGGCTTTGAGTTGCCATGGGAATTTTAAAGAAGCAGAAGAATTCAAGGAGACTATTTCTATCAAGCAGAACCTGTTGACTGCTTAATTTCTGTATGTAAATTGTGCTGCACAGAGTTCTTGCTTATTCATTAGACTGTCTAAATAAATCTCTACTAACTAGCAAGCACTGAAGGCATTACTCAGAAGCAGTTTCCCAGTGCATAACTAAGTGATGCAGGGGTAGGGGCAATGATAAAGTACTTCAATATAAGATGTATTACCACACCATAAAGAAAAGGGAAAAAAAAAACAGCAGAACAAAACAGATACAAAGAAATTTTGCTGTTTTCTACAAAAGGGATACAATTTTGAGCCCTGACTTCAAAGGCAAAATACCCTCTGACAATATTAAGCCCTTATGTTTCACTAACTTCTAGTAAAATCCGGTTTTTAAAATTCTTTAATAAACAAGCAAACAAAAATCACCACCTGACAGATTTACCTGAGAAGTTCATTAAGGGTCAAATACCACACAGTCATTTCTGAATGCCTGTTTAAATTAAAGCTCCTTTATTTACTCCTTTATTTTCTTTAAACCACCTCATGCATGTTGTCCCACTGCCTTCTTTTCTGCTAGTGTTCCTGGGGACTCCTCATGAATAATGCACAACCTTCCTGACAGTTCCTTGTATGAATTTGGGATTCACCCAGTAAGGCAGCAAAAAAATCAATTAAATTTGTTCCAGAAGAAAAGCACAAATGGTGATTTATGAGTCCTGAACATTCATGAGAGCTGGGTTAAGAGGACAATTCTCTGATGCCAACCTAGATACCTTTCCTCCTGCTGGCAAGTCTCTAACTCACTTCTGTGGACAGAAGTCAAATGGAAAACACAGATACCAAGAGCAGCTAATTGGCTCCCGCATGTTTACATGAGTTAGTCATTAAACAATTTAATGACAATTTAATGACAGTCAATAATGATTGGTGGCTTTCCTGATAATTCACAAGCGGAAATGGTGATTAAACTCATTAAAGTACAGTTGAAAAGACACCATCAGTCCCCAGGAAATTTCCCTGAGGAAATTATTTTTAGCCACTGGAGTGCTCAGACAATTGCCTTCCCTCTCTCCCAGTATGTTCCATTTCCCAAGGCTCCAGGTCCCTCCAACTTCATTCATAATATAGATTTCCCTTTCCTGGCACTGGTTACAGAAAGCTTGCACAAAGCAACCAGAAACCCAAAACCAGTTCACACTCCAGTCAGAGCCTTTGGCCGCCAGCCAGGCCAGGTCACACTGATTTCCAGGGGTGAGTCCTCTCCTGTTTTCACACAGGTGTCACATAACTGTTGCAAACTGTTGCATCTCTGGAAAATGCCCTGATCTGTGACTGCTGTCTCTCCCCAGTGCAGGACACACAAAAGCACTGCTGCAGCTCTTCTCACAAAACCACAGCAGAACCAAAGGCTGTTGTACAGGTTGGAATATGAGTTTTAGTGAAGCTAGACTGGGTGTCCAATATGCTTAGCACACTTTAACCCACCCATCTATGTAAAGCAGCCACTTAAGCAGCAAAATCTTTTCCAGCTCTGCCCCGAGCACTCACCTGTGGGTCACTTTGATCAGGTTAGGGGCTGTGTACTCTGCAATGCCACCAGTGCCACTGTACTCCCCCATGTCTCTGTCCTCCTCCTCACGGAGAACAGCCCTCTGCACCTTGTGACGCTTGGAGATGTTCCTTGGGAAGATGGGCTGGTATCCATCCTCTAATCCCAGGTTATAAACAGCTCCAGCCAGCTCCACAGACACGGAACGGACGGAGCGATTCCGGACGTAGCTCGGTTTGAATTCTGCACGGAAAAAGAAGTGACAGAAGGGCAGAAGCAGCATGTTACAGTTCACTCCTCTCTGTGGTTCTTGGGAGGAAAACAACCAGCCCACACTGTGCTGTTTGGAATTAAGTGGCTGACAAACAGCGTTTGTTGCAGTTGTTCCTCTGAGCTGCTGCTTCCTCACCTTTGGAACGGACAGAAGGATGGACGGACACCCCACAGCAGGGAGAGGGCAGGTACAATGCAGACACAAAGGAATGGCAGAGGGGAAAGAAAACGTTCTTGCCCGGCATCACTTTAGAACAAAGAGCTCGCTCAGGCGGGCGCTGCTCCGCCCACGGTCACCAGGTGGCAGCCGCGCCGCGGGCACCGACCCCACAGTCACACCGGGTACCCCCCCGTCACACCGGGTACCCCCACAGTCACACCGGGTACCCCCCACAGTCACACCGGGTACCCCCACAGTCACACCGGTACCCCCACAGTCACACCGGGTACCCCCACAGTCACACGGGTACCCCCCCGTCACACCGGGTACCCCCACAGTCACACCGGGTACCCCCACAGTCACACC